CACAGATATGGAGAACCGTAGTTATTATACAACATTTACTATAGCTTATCTTAGTAATACATCTCACGTCACAGAAAAAGAGGACCAGTTCTGTCCACCCGCTTTCGTCCGCTGCAAGCTAGCGGTTTACTACCGTTCGTTCATATCGTTCTGTTTTTTTTAAGGTTTTCCTTCTACTTCGCCATGACTTCATACGTCGTTGACCTCGCCGAAACTAGCGACGTCTCCGAGCCCTCTCAATTCCCGCCCCTACTCGAGATCGGAACCGAAAAGCGGTTCGGGATCTGATGGATGTGGACGGCAAGGACGTGTGGTGCAAGCGCTGTGGCAAACTTGTCCATAGTTCTGGACGAACCCATGTCGAGCGCGTCGAGAAGCATGTGTACACCAGATGCCCCACTCCTACAAGATAACTGACATCTACCAGTCCAATATGAACGCGTCTGCACTGATGGAGTTTCAGGAGCGGTTTGCATGGTGCCGTTTTATAAGACGGAACACCGCGCACTGCTCAAGGAACTTCATGTGCTCAATCCATGGATCAGTGTGCCATCGGCTTACCAGCTCGCGAATCCCTTGCTTGACGCCTCCTACGCAAAGTCTTTAAACCGTTTAATGGTTTCTCTGGCTGGCCGGGTCGTCATCCTGGAGATGGACGGATGGACTGACATCAATGGACTTTCCGTTATCAACTACATGGCTGTGTCTCGGAATCTATCTTTTTTTTCTTGGAGTCAAAATACACCGGAGAGGAAAGTCATGATACGCCGTTCCTGGTTGCCGACGTGAAGCGTGTCTTACGTAAATACAAGGGCATCAAGTTTTGAAGCGTCATCACCAACAATACCGCAGCTAACAAGGCAATGGAGGAGGAGCTGTAGACTGAGTTTCCAAAGCTCTTCTTCCACGGATGCGTATGCCATGCTCTACATCTCCTCGTAAAGGACCTACTGGACCGTCTTCCGTGATTAAGCGAGCTGCAGTCAAACTGCAAGGAACTGGTTAAATTCTTCAAGCGAAACCATAAGCTCTGGTTTCAGTTACGCCGCAAGCAGAAGCAGAAG